TGTACATGAAAAACCAGATCACATCCTAAAAACAAACAGCAGTCACTAAGACATACATCAGGAGCCGACTCGATGGAGTTTAATGTCATACCCAGGGAAGGGCACAGATCTGTTTTGAAAGGTGGAGGGGGGAGGGCATTTTGTAAGTCAACACCCACCCAAGCCCCACAATGGTTGGATCTGAGGTGAGAAAATTTGAGGAAATAGTACCTCTAGATGGCCAGAAATGACACTTTTAGTAAAATTCATTATCATCACATCACTATTAGTCAAAATGAAGCGCCAAAAGAAATTCTCATGATCTTTTATCAGGGAATTTTGACAACCATAGAGATGTTATTAATGTGTGTGTGTATACACCATAGAAAACAAAGCTTAAAAACATTGTCTTTGAGTATGTACTTTACATAGGCCTACTTCAAAAACGTGATTTCACAACCACCTCAGCCCCACCATGGCTGGGGCTGAGGTGAGAAAATTTGAGGAAATAGTACCTCTCGAGATGACCGAAAATGACACTTTTATATAATAAAATTCATCATCATCACATAACCATTATAGTCAAAATGAAACGCCAACAAATTTCTCATGATCTTTTATCAGGAATCTACTTAATATCCAGGACAACTAAGGCCTAATTATAGCTTACTAAGCTTTAACTATATACTATAGTATGATCAACAAATCACAACTTTTTTCGCATTTAGCACAATTTTCTTCACTTTTTATTGCTATTAATATTATTATCAATTATTACTATCGTCATTATCATCATTGTTATTATTATTATTACTATTAGTAGCAGTATTATTAAGCAAACATGATCTTTTATCATGGATTTTTGACAACCATAGAGATCTTATTCTTATTAATGTGTGTGTGATATACCATAAAAAATAGAAAAAAAGCTTAAAAACATTGTCTTTGAGTATGTACTTTATATAGGGCTACTTCAAAAACGTGATTTCACAACCACCTCAGCCCTACCATGGCTGGGGCTGAGGTGAGAAAATTTGAGGAAATAGTACCTCTCGAAATGGCCGGAAATGACACTTTTATATAGTAAATTCATCATCATCACATTACCATTATAGTCAAAATGAAACGCCAACAAATTTCTCATGATCTTTTAATCATGGATCTACTTAATATCCAGGACAACTTAGGCCTAATTATAGCTTACTAAGCTTTAACTATATATACTATATTATGATCAAAAAATCACAACTTTTTTTCGCATTTTTCTTCCCTTTTTATTGTTATTAATATTAATATCAATTATTTCTCTCGTCATCATCATCATTGTTATTATTATTACTACTACTATTAGTAGTAGTATTATTAAACAAACATTTAAAGAAACTTGGAAAAGGATAAAAACGAAATTGAACCACAGTATCGCATTTCTATCTTAAAAGACCTGGCCTGAGATTTATGGATTTAAGATTTTTTTAAATCACGCTTAGGCTTATGTGTTCTATCTATGTATAACGTGTACTGATGCATATTTACATGTTTAGAAGTATTCATTTTGAGTGATCCCAGGAAAGAATTTGTATTTGCTCAAGAATAAGCTTTAAAATTTTAACACTGTGTACAAATATACGTCCCTGATCCGGAGTACTTCTTGATTTTGGAGAGAGGTTCGTCTATACAGTAATAATATAGAATAGTTTAGAATTTGTTGTTGTTTGCTACGAAGTCCTGTACATTGTAAATATTTTGTGTAAACTTAAACCGGTGTACGGTAAGAATGGCCCCGGAAAAAATGGCCCCGGAAAAAATGGCCCCGGAAATAATGGCCCCGGAAAAAACGGCCCCGGTAAAAATGGCCCGATATGACAGGTAGGTAAAAATGGCCCCAATAATCAAATTCTGAATTAAAACTGATTTTCTTGAGTCATTATATGCATTTTTTTATCGTAACTAATTTAGTTTTTAAAAGGAATCTCCCCAATAATCAAATTCTGGTTCCTAGTCCACATTTCAAGCGCCCTGAGCATCTTACATTAGATGGATATGTGCGCTATATAAAACTACACTATTACTGTCTCTTATACACATCTAGATGTGTATAAGAGACAGGGCCTATGTAATGAATAATATTAATAGAATTTAAAATTATTAGTATGTAATAAAAGTATTGATTATTATAATTTTGAAATACAGTAAATGCTACATTTTTTTCAAAATTGATATATAATTATGGGTTGGTCTAAATTCATTACAATTCTAGAGCATGTCCACTCAGGCCAGGCCTATTATTAGGGCCTTCCTTACAGGAAGGCAGGCCTACACCAAATAATTAATTAGACTGTATAATTAGTAAAGAACTAGACCGCGACGGGATTAAAAATGAAAAAAAGAGTACTTACAGGCCTGTCTTTTGTAAGAAAAAGGTTCAACTTCTAGACATATATTTCGCATTAAGGTGCATATTTGGACCATCTGTATTTTCTGATAGCAAAAGGTGCAACAATGTACCTTTTTATCGTTTAGTTTAACTCTGCACCCTCTCTGCACCTTTGTATGATGAAAAGGTACAACTTTGTACCATTTTCTATCTTTGCACCTTTTGATGCACCTTTATTTTTAAGTGTGTAGAACTACAACAAGTTCACGTTCAGCTGCAAGTCCTCTAGTAACTAATAAAACGTGAGTGACAAAGGTTTTTTTTTCCCTATGTATGATACCATTTTCATTCATATTATACATAAAGTCATAAATACGTGTTTACCAGGTAAGCCAGGACACATGATCTGATACTAAAGTATTTTAATGCTCATCTGAATACTTTTAATGCTCATGTGTTCAGAATTTTATTGTGTCTTATTTCAACTTGTATCTTATTAAAAGTAAAAAAAAATATTAAAAATAAAAGTATAATAATAATAAAAGTAATAAAAGAGACAGTGACTAAGCGAAATAGCAAGGAACTTACAGAAAGTGGTATTGCACCAGAACTCACTGACGAGCAAATGGAGGTCACACAGATTATTGAGGATTTAGTTGAGGTGGAAAAGGACACCAAAGAACATCATACAGAGGAGGAGAAGAAACAGGTGGATGGTGTTGAAATGAGGAATAGAGCTTTAGAGTCATTTACAGAGACAAGCAAGAGGTGAACTCAATTCTTTTGATTTGAATGTGCAATCTAAAATGGGCTATAGTCCTATCTAATTTTTAGCATTGAAAATAGTGTTATTGAACAGGATGAATAAATATCAAAAGCTAAATACAAACCAAGATGTGGAAGGAATATAGGTACAGAATTAAACCGTGTGTCCATGAATGGGAAACATTTTTTTCCAACAGCAGACTGATGTACAAATGCATGTTTAGAAAACTAAAATTTCGAAAGATTTTTGCATGTATAACCTCAAAAAGAAAAGTGTTATTTTTACATTACTCAAAACTTTTATTTTACAGGATTAAATCAGAGAAAGAGAGAGAGACCAGCAAATAAAAGAACGCGAGTTCCAAATGCAGAGGGAAGAAGTAGAGCGAAGACAGCAAGATAAAGACCGAAGAAGGGAAAGAGAAGAAAGAGAGGAAAGGAGACAGCAGAGAGAAGAGAGGGAAGAGGAAAGGAGGAGGCACGATGAAGAAAGAGAAGTGGAGAAGAGGAGAAGAGATGAAGCAGAAAGAGAAAGGAAAATGGAACTGTTCCAGCAACAATTACTACAACAAAATTAGTTACAAAAGAATGACAACACTAACTTTTGTTATCATCATAATTAAACATAAGCAAACATTCAGAAATATTTCTTTTTGATTTTGCACGTTTTTTCCCCCTGAAAGTTAGTTTAACCACAAGGTTATTTTTTCATGTACCATACTTTTGGCTTTGACATATATGAAGGCAACCTCCTTACAAAGAAATATTTGGCAGTACTCTATAATGTGTTCTCATTTTTGTTGTTCATTTTAGAGAATCAAGAGGAACTGTTAGTATTACATAAATATTTTACAGTTATTTAGTAGTTGTATAAATAAAGTATTTTCAACATTTAACATGTGAACAGTTTTTAATTGATATTTATGAATAAATAGATCAAGAAGTAATTGATACCAGGTTATTTCGTTTATTTGTTCATGCTCACGGACATGAAGAACAATGGTATGTACATCTATTACCAAGAAATATTAGCATATGTAGCTGACATGCAACATAATTGCAATGCCATTGAGTTCTACAGGATAAATTAATGTAAATAATACTCATTGGCATTTTACCGAGGACTTAGGAAAAGTGCTGCTCCAATGTTGGAGGGTCAAGTTGAAAGAAGCGGGAAGTTGAATTGCCATACAGGCAAACATGGGCATTGGTTAACAATCCCGAAACCAAGTACATTTTTCCACAAGCTGAGAGGCAAACCTTTTGGTTTTTCTTGAAGTCAATGTATTTGAAATTGTTGACTATGTCGCCAAACAGCCACTCAACACTCACTCTCACAGTGCTCATAGATCTGTTGTACGCTTCCTGCTCAGCAGTTACATTTGCTCCTTTGAATGGGCATTGCAGGTGTTCCCTCAAGGGATATGCAGGGTCCCCATATACACAGAGGACATTGCCATGAGGATAATAGGACCGCTGTTCCAGTTCTGTCAACAGACCAGATTCACGAAGCATGAAGCTGTCGTGTCTTCTACCCTCAATAGGCCCAAACAAATTGGCTATCATTCCATTAGCCGCAGTCACAGACTGATATTTAAGGGCATGTATTCTTTTGTGCCCATTGTACATTATTCTCTGATTGATCTTGGGACGGCAGATGGGACGCACAATCCCATCTACAAATCCCCAACAGTTCTGAAGCGCTCCTCCTTTCTCGTGCACTGCTGTGGCATATTTGAGCAGATTCTCGGATGACAGCCATGGTTGGTCCATTGTTGTCAGTAAGTGACTGAAATTGTTGTAGATGTGATCCATCATGTGCATTGTGATCACACACAAGAGTGGTACATCTCGTGCAAACATCTGCACCAAGTCTCCATATCTGCAAGGGTAGACGAAACGAGCTAGCAAAATGCAGAGGGCCTCCAAACCATCAACTCTCGATCCATTTTTGCATCTAATGATAGCTGGAACGTCGAGTACGCTTTTCAGACGATGGAGATCATCTTTTCTGAACCTACAAATAAATCAGAAAATAGTTGGGTAAAATTTATTAACTTGAAATAGGCAACCTTGTTTCAACTAGACCATGGAGGCTGGGGTAGGGGAAAGAATCTAGATTAGGGGATTTATGGTTAGATTGGAGATGGATTTTTCTTTTTGAATGAATGTTTATTTTTGTAAATTTATACATAATTTAGATCTAGATCTATAGTCTTTTATAGAGCTCTTGATTAGTAACATTAAAATCTTTTGCTAAGCCTAAAACTAAAGTGGAGTGTTTAGCAACTCCAGATTTTGCGTATCAAACTACTGTACCATAATTCTGGGTGGGACTGCAAGAAAAAAAAGGTTCTTACCTGAAGTATGCATTACATTCATCATTGTTGTACTTGTCTAGATCAAATTTCTGATAATCTCGGTACCTGAATTCGGCATTTGTGGGTTTATTTGTATTGTATAACAACATGAATTCCTCATCGTCCAAGACACCGGTAGAATATGCTAAGACAATAATTTCGCGAAGTCGATGAAGGTTTGCCATGACAGCTGCTTAATAAGGTTGCCTAGCGCGCGAACTGATAGCACGTAATGTAGTTCACTACATGTCGACGTATCGTCGACTGAAATCTAAAAGGTTTTTATTTGTAGTCAACAGGTATAGTTGACTACGTTGACACGCATGACTAGTCGACGTGAACCAGGTCCACGTCCACACAATCTAAAAGTCCCTATTATTACATACTAAGCATTAAACACTCCTAGACCTACTGCTTATTATTATCCTAGGCCTACAAATAAGTGCCAAATCGCAGGCGTTATGCTGTAAATTGTTGATTTTTTTTTTTTAGCAGTGGCAACCAATCAGAAAAGGAAATGCTCAACTAAATCAGGTACATTATTTTTTGTTTTTACTTTATTAAATTAGATACTTGACAAGTCTAAACCAGAGCTCAAAGTTTAGTAACCAAAGTACCTATCTGTTTTCGTAAATAAAGCACATTATTCAGTATCAATTTTTAACTCGGGACCTCCCACTTACATGTTTGAAGACTTGCACACAACACCAAGCAACACCACTAATAATTGGACATTAATGGCAAAGTTCAATTCGTTTTAATTAATTTTCAGCCTTAAAAAAAAAAACTTAATACATCCATGATTATAATGTTGTTTCTTGAACTTGTACTTATTTGTAAAAAGTTCATGTTATTAACAATACCTTTATAATGTTATACTTCCAGGAAGGAAAAAGGCCAAGACCAGTTTAGTTTCAGAGTTGTCAGAAGTGTTTCAGAAATCTAACCAGGAATTCCGTGTGCAGTTGTTAGAAGATCAAAAAAAGGAGAGAGAGAGGAGAGAGAGGAAAGGATGATGATGCGTATGCATGAACTATCATCTGAACGTCAAATGAGAATGATTCAGGCTTTAGGAATGATGGTTCGACCGGCCGCACGACAGACTTTTCCACAACCAACGCAATACAATGCTGCGCAACAATCATATGAACAGTCTGAACATGGCCAAAGACCACATCAGACTTGGCTTCCTACACGGCAAGAAAGGTATTGGCCAAGACAACATGCGCAGCATCACCAACCGCAGCACCACCAACCACAACAACAGGAACAGACAAAATCAAGTGAAGCACAAGACGAGAGTCGGCTACAATTTTCACTACATCACTACAGAAACTGTGTTAAATGTTTCTCCTGTTAAAAAATACAAAAAGAAGGACGTTTTATATACTGGCATGTGCTTTGCCAATTTCATGAGATCAACTTTTTTGATATTCTGTATGCCTTGGGGGGATCCCATTTTAGGTATGCACGATTGTGGAACTGATATACCCTGGTACAATCTCTTCGTGAAATACCCCAATTAACATCCTGCCTACGCCTAGGAGTGCCAATCTCCTCTTCCTCCTCCTTTTCGACTTGTAAAGGAATAATTTGACATCCTTGATAGCTGTTGTCATTCTCTTGATAATACCGTCATGCTTATACATAGGCCTACACAGTATGAATTCTTACCACATTTCCAATAGCTATTTTTTGTACCCACAATGATCTGACCGGAAACACAATAGAGATGATGCTTCGAAGATGTAACATGAACAATAATCTTAGAAATATAAATTTTAAAAATACACAAGGCAAGAAAGAAATAAGCATCAGTATGATCATTACCCTCCTGGCTCTATCTGCATCCTCTTTTCTCGTCCTCTCCACTTCTCCTTCCTCTTTCTCACATCTTTTTTTCATCATTGCGCCTCCTTATTTCTTTCTCTTTTTCCTCCCTCTCTCGCCTTCTCGCTTCATGCTGTTGTCTTCTTTCTTCTTTTCTTTCTTCCCTCTCCTGTCTTTGTTCCTCGTCCTGTTTTCTTTTCTCGGCTTCTTCCCTTCTCATGTCAACTCCCACTCTTTCAGTTCTCAGGAAGTGATGCTGTGAAAGCTTGAAATGGATAGATGCTTTCACAGCATCACTTCCTGTGTTCCTGCATTTCCTACACCTTCCTTTTCAGATTTGCTCCTGAAATATACAAATAAATTGACAAACCATTTGCCTCAGTACAATACTATGTGACAATTTCTTATTAATTTACATTGGAAAAAAAAAATCCTACACAATTATTAAAAATTATTATTATTATTAGTAGTAGTATTGTAAATTTAATCTATTTCATGGACTTTTGAAAAAAAATCTCGTTCAGCTTATGTTGAAGCCTAGTAAAATCCTCTCAGCGGGTCCAATATCACCCATTTTGAAGAAATGACATCATTTGTGTCGACGGTGAAAACATGGGTGAACACATTCTCAAATCGCGTGGTGAACGAAGAGCTGACGCTCGTGCACGCGCAGTGCTTGAAAATGACGTCATCCCAAGAGGTCGACTATGTTGACGTGAAAATCGAAAAGTGCCTAGTGATACATACTTAACTAGATGACCCCTGGTGACCTAGGCCTAGCCAATTGCAACCAATCACTTATCAAGAAGGTAAGTCGTCAAATCCTGTGATAATAAATTGCCGAGCCTTTGGAAAAACCCACGAACGACGCAAGTGCAAAGCCTATGAACGAAATGCACAAAATGTGGAAAAATGAACCATTTTCCGCCTGTGTGTAGAAATACTAATATATATCATCAGAATCAAACTTTCATTTAGAGAGTGTAGGAGCTGTCAACAACCTTGGTGACAAGAAGCTGATGATAATGCTCCAAGTAGAAACTTTATCAGGTACATCCGCAAATATTGAATGCGAAATAGACACAGGAGCATCCTGCTGTATAATGTCTCAAGATGACCTTGATAAGATGAAGATGTACAATGACCAAAAAGTAAAGGTGCATGGTGAAGTAGAGCTAAAATGCCTATATAAAAGAAAAATGAATACAAGCTTCCATTCAAAATAATGCACACAACACAAGCACAATTAATTTCTAGAGCTAAAGCAGTGGCAGAAGACATCCATCAGACTACAGTTCAAGTTACAGTACTATCAAGAGCATATGTATAGCGATGTGTGAACACAGCAATAAACAGAGCAAACTATATGATGCCCACCGTATTGGAACACCATTTGGGCAGTACAGATACCACAGAATGCCATTTGGTATATCAACAGCACTTGAAGAATTTCAGAGACGACAGCATTAGATAAGCGAAGATTTACATAGTGTTGAAGTCATTGCTGACGATTATCTGGTATATGGATGTGGAGAAACAGATCAGGAAGCAAAGGACGACCATGATGCAAAACTAAGAGCATTCCTAAATAAGGCTAGACAAGTAAACTTAAAGCTGAACAGGAAAGAAGAGCTGCGGTTCCCTAGAGGTGAAATAAATTGTTCTGGAAATGAAGTCATTGTGTACCTTTTGATACGTTCTTGAACCCAAAGATATTACAAGCGTGATTAAAAATAATCTTAAATCCATAAATCTCAGGCCAGGTCTTTTAAGATAGAAATGCGATACTGTGGTTCAATTTCGTTTTTATCCTTTTGCAAGTTT